CCTGACCGATCCGATTTTCAAAACACTAATTAATTCTTAATTAATTGTCACTCACATTCATTTAATTAATATTAAGTAAAATTTCACATTCAAGAATGTAGTTCATTATTCACGTTCATATATGCTAATTTAGCATCCAATTTCACTTAATTGAAAATTAAATTATATTCATTTAATATAAATGATTTAATATTTATTGTCACGTATATATATTCCTTAGTGTTAATTCTAAATTAAATAACATTCACGTTAATTCATGTGTCATATTTGACATTCATTTTCATTTATGCATTTATTTGTAATTCTAATGCTCACATTTAAATATGCAATTCACTATTTACATGCATATCTAATAATTGACACTTGTTTTCAGAGATTTGCATTTCTCTCATATTTAGATTAAAAGGTTAAATGGAGGATCAAATATTACTTTTATACTTTTTATAAAATATTTTAAACACGTTCAATTCTGAATAGTATTAGATAAAAACCTAAAACCCTAAAATAATTTGTCTTCATGTTGGAGTTGCCCACGAAAGAATTCACCTGCTATTGAGATGATTTGGAAATTAATTAATTTTATTCTTCATGTTTTCTTGTCTTCACCGACTTCAAGTTGGTTCGATTTTGACTTTTGGCTTTATTCGAATTTGATTTTTTTAATGATTTTAAGCATTGAGTCGGGCAGAAAAGCACGTATGAGACAAAATTAAGAGGGAATAGCCACATTATTGGCTCCGCCCTTGATCGAAAAGTATTGTCTAAAGTCGCTCATATATAGAAAATAAAAAAATAAAAAATTATTTGCTGCCCCTTAACAATGCTATTGTTAAAAACTAAAAATTATGTACAAACCAATAGAATAGAGCCAAGAAAGGGAATGTGTGAAAATGTTACTTTATGATACAAAGTTGACAGAAAAGTACAAAACTTACAAAGTGTAATATATAAATAAAAGTTATTACTTTAATTTTAAAATAAAGTTACTTTTAATCTTTAAACAATTTATTAAGTGAAAGTGGTTCGCATGTGCATAGAACTAATTCCAGCAATTACCTACACTAATTACAGGTACAGTGAAGTAAAGTTAATAATGACATTTTGATGATGAAAAGAGGAAAAAAAATGGACCGTCAGATCTCGTGTCCCTGTCAATCAAAAAAAATGTCGTCATTTTAAATATCCTTTTATTATTTAATTAAGTAATTCGCAATCCAACAATTATCAGGTGCAACCAACCTCCCACATATTTGGTGCAACCGCCCCATCTAATCCTTTAAATATGTGGACTGTGGAGTGGTCACGGACCTGACGCAAATTAATAAGTTTACAGAAAACAAAAAGGTTTTTTAAGTACGAAAACTAAATTTCGAGTATTGGAGTCATGCTTCATGATATTTGGTAGTGAGTCGTAATATTGATTCATAGAGTCGGATATTTGGGGTCCATAAATTAGGCTCGATTCAACCCTTTGACACGTGGTTCGAGTCGAGTTGTCCATGAGCCGCACGTATTTTTCTAAAGAAATTAATAAATGAAGCCCAATCAAAAAAATGTTATTGTTTTCGTTTCGAACTCTGTTCGAAAAATCAAAATTCTTTTTCGAAAACTCAAAAAAAATTTTTTTTTTCCCTATAATTTTCCATTTTTTATTGATATTTGGAGACTCTACGGACATCTTATTGAAGCTTATAAGAAATTTTAAGTAAAACATTAACATCCTTTGATGATGCCCACTGACTAATGAGTGTGCTATATGGTAGAATGTAAAATAGAACGTTAATTATAATGTATGTGTAACAAAAATGTAATTAGTTAGACGAAATAAATTAGGATTATACTATTTTTACAACTCTCCTTACAACATGATTGACATTTTGCCATGTGACATTGTAAGGATAGATAATGTACACCAAGAATGATTGAATAAATTATCCAATAAAAAATATAAAAATTTATCTTGTCATACCATATCTAATTTAAGGGTGTGTTTGATCCACATTATTTTGGAAGAATGTATTTTGAAATAGTAGATTGATGGAGAATGTGTGATTGAAAATGAAGAAAACGTTATTGATGTGATGAAAATTATTATTTTATTGAAAGATGTGTGGTTGAAAATGAGTAGAAGAATAAGAATGAAAATTTTAATGTGTACCAAACATGAGCTAATTATTTATCAAAGTAATGATATTATTGTTTATGATAAAAATAACCAATTTTAGCAAATTAATTATGCTACAGGTACATCATCTTCTATATTATTGTTTACATTATGTCTCGTGATAACATATTATTGAACGGTTAAAAAAATTAATTTTTTGAAAACAAAGAGAATGTAAAATGTAAGTCAATGAATGTAGATGTAGCATTATTATTTAGCAAATTGATGTTTTATTATCAATGAATTTTCACCAAAGATCATCTAATTAGTGGTCGCGTTGCACCCAATGATTGCCGCTTGCAGATTCCCACGCCACCGTGTCACCACCTAACGCCATCACTTCCCCCCACTCCCCACTCCCTACCCCACCACCTCCGCCTACGACTCTTGCGTCTACCAGGAGCCACACACAAAATCCTGTAAACACCAAACCCCATTTTCGCCCTTTTTTTCAGGCAAAGAAAATGCAACAAAAATCCTTGTCGCCGCCGGCGGAAACTCCGGCATACGTGCCTCAAACCCTTGAATTTCCGTCGACCGACGCCGGTAATGTATCTGGTGATCCCAACGGTTCCTCCCTCTTTGACTGGTCCGATTTTCTTGATTTCGACATGGATGATAACTTAAACCTCGCCTTTGACCCACCAGCCATCAATGGACCCGAACCAGAATCCGGACCCGATGTTGACCCTGTTCAACCCCAAAATCAACAACCCAGCAATTCTACCAGGGTGAGGAAGAGGGACCCGAGATTGATCTGCTCGAATTTTTTGGCGGGGCGGGTCCCGTGTGCTTGCCCGGAGTTGGATGAGAAGCTGGAGCAGGAGGCGAGTGGGGATCTTCCGGGTAAGAAGAGGGTTCGGCCTGCTAGGATTCCGGCTGGGGCCACGGCCCGGTGTCAGGTTCCGGAGTGCGAGGCCGATATTAGTGAGCTCAAAGGGTACCATAGGAGGCACCGGATCTGCTTGCGGTGTGCCAATGCGAGTACAGTGGTTCTTGATGGCGAGAGCAAGAGATATTGTCAACAATGTGGAAAGTGAGCTCATTTTTAATTGCTTAGTAAATTTACATACGCTTTAGATATGGTTTTATTGGTTAATTTATAACAATCAACTGTGCTTTATAATATCTCAAAAAGAATCAACAGTAAAAAGAGTTACAATATATAGAATACTTGAAACAAACAATAGGAAACGAAAGAAGAAACATAAACCATGGTTTATAGTTGATCTCTTTTAATCTTAAACAGGAGTACAGGTGATTAAAGATACGATATTTAGGTTGGATAGGTTTTAGTTTGTCATTATGTTATATTGGAATAGATTGGTGAAGCGGGATTTGTTTATAGGTTGACTTGTTTTGATGTATGCACATTTAAGAAGTTCACATAGAGACAAATTAAAGATGTGATTTTGTGAAATGGATTACAAGTTTGATAGGCACATATACATCTAACTTTTTTCGTGTTTGTATCTTTAAATTAAAGCGGAATGGTTCTTGTAGTTTACGTCTTGTCTTCTGCCCTAAAGGGAGGGTTTGCTACAGCATGTTTTTTTGGCTGGTTCAGATGCCTCTCCACGTGTAAAAGAACATGCATGACCTGAGGATTTAATTTTGAGGTCTTTAAAATATTGCAGGCTTGGTGATTCAAAATGGAAATACATGCTCAGATGACTATAAATATTCTGCATGTAACTATGATTGTGGGGAAATTATTTACAGAAGTGATGTGTGTACATAGTTTTTGTTTGTGGTTTGATGAGGTTATGATCATGAATCACCAACTATAAGGATTGTAATGAAAATAGGTTCTTGACGAGGAACCTCTGTTGAGAATGATTTTGTTTAAATACCTGGGCTGTAGCTATATGTACTTGTATATGATGCATAATTTATTTACTGATAGACAAGATCTGTAGAAGTTTAATTGAGCATGTTAGTTGCAGATCCACCGTATGCAGGTGAATCCAAATTCTTGTGCATGCTTAATGGTGGAAGTGCTAAATTTAGTTATTTGGTTTAAACCAGGCTCATACATAGTATTTAAGCAAGTTATTACGGTTTTCAAAATTTGACCAAAAGGATTGGTCTTGTATTGAATGGCAAGAATCTTTGTTGAGCAAAGATTCACATAGCTTAAAAATTTGGTCTGACTGATTCACAGAATAATTGGGAAAAGAACTTGACTCTGAAATCACATTGAAATAAAATTTGTGGCAGGATAAGCATTAGCTAAAAAATATTGAAACAATTTAATCACTTCGGTTTTATTCTCTACATTTTCAGTGGTGGATCATATCTTCAGCATAACTACTTTGCTGGATTATATAGAAACAGTTAGATGTGCATGCTATTTTAAATCTTCCAGTTATTTACATTGGAACCGCTAAAAAGATGAACATGCCCATTGCTTTGTCTGACTAGGATTAATTGGCATTTGATTTTCATTATACCCTGATCATGCTGATTTTTCTACCCTTTGGTAGGTTTCATATTTTGTCAGATTTTGATGAGGGCAAACGAAGTTGTAGGAGAAAATTAGAACACCACAATAGGAGACGTCGACGAAGACCTAATGGTTCTAAAGGAAGCATTGAGAAGGAATCTCGGCAGGTTGTTTTAGTTGACGATGTCAGCTGTGATGATGACACTGGAAAAGGTATGAACTTTTTCTCAACATGATTATTATGTTAACCTTGGAAAAATTTCTCTACATCTCTCCTTCGACAAATTCTCTCTCTCTTTTGCCTAGACATGTCTGTAGGATGGATGATCTTGGAAATGTTTGGCACTAAGTATACCTCTTGCTGGGCTTTGATCTCCATTTGTTATCTCCATACATGTGTTCGACGATGCTGAAATTTTGTGTGAACATCTTTTATTGTTAAAGTTGTTGAATTCTGGATGCCACAGATAGCATATGCTTGAGCAGTGAGATTGCTGAACCGGAAACTTTGTTGGAGTCAGGACATGTATCAACAATAAGCTCAGGTCTTGGTTCCCAGACTATCCAGAGTGACAGTTTTTTGTCATTTGCTGCTTCTGGTGAAACTCGTGTTGATGGGGAGAAGGAGAATCCCAAACAGAAAAATTCTCTATCCTGTGAGAACAAGAGCACTTTCTCCTCTGCGGTAGGTCCAATGCTCCAATGTGTAAAATATTACTGTTTCACTGGCAAGGCTTATCTAAATTCTGCTTTTATATATTGTAGTGCCGTGCTGGCCGGATTTCATTCAAGCTCTATGATTGGAATCCTGCAGAGTTTCCTCGACGACTTCGGCATCAAGTATTCTAAAGATTAATATTACAGTTTAGTTTATACAGTTAGTTTATAAAGGAGAGGTTAAATGTTGTTTGTATCAAAGATGTGATAGATTTTATTTAACACGCTTATAAATGTTTGTGCAGATATTTGAATGGTTGGCCGGCATGCCTGTTGAACTAGAGGGGTATATCCGTCCCGGTTGTACAATATTGACAGCTTTTATTGCAATGCCCAAATTAATGTGGCTCAAGGTAATTTGGATTTTGTGATGCACTTACGATTCATAACAATACTCCCAGGAGTAAATTGTGTGCTAGTATTCACTAAGGGCAGTGTGGTCATTTCAATCCTTTTTTGCACTTTAAGAAGTTGCAGCCATTCCAACATTGAATTAAAGTCGTTAACGACTTCACTAACATGAAGGGCATATTTGGCATACTGGGAGTATAATTTACAAGATTTTCACTTCTTATTTTATCTTTTTACCACCTTACGTAATAAACGAAAAAATCATAGAACTTACTTACCAATGTTATATTTTTTTATGTAAAGATTGCTAAATCTTACTCTTTAGCACTCAGAAGAGGTGTGTATATGTCTGGAATTTGCATTAGTCCAAGCAGTCCATTTCATTGCCAATCTTCCACAAAAAAGTGAACAAGTCTCCTATTTCTCTTCTGCATCTCTTTCCCACCTTTTCTTCTGATTGTTCTCTCTTTTGCAATTAAACTTAAATGCAACAGAGCAACTACTCAAGTGAAATCACATGGTGATCTTACTTCTCACATTACGTGTCTATGTTGTTTTCTGACAGTGAAAACAGCTGCAGCTTTTATTTTTATTTTTATCTGTGCATTTCTTTTTGGGTGGATTGGGGGCGTTAAGTGTAACAACTTAAATCATTTTTAATGAGGTATGGGCTTTTCTTGTAGCGCTGCAGCGCATAGTGCCTAAAGAGAGAAATTTTTGGGGAGCCAAGTTCTGTATTCCCTTGATGTAATGTAACATCTAAATTGACACTTTTATATCTTTTCATGGGCACCAATTAGAGTATTAGATAAAACTGGAAATTTTATTCAATCCGTCGAAATAGTGATGGCATCTTTTGTTTTCTGTTTTATATGCGATTATCTTATTTGTGGATGGCATTGTAAGTTTTGGCAAAAATTTGAGCATGGACAAATTATTTGATATCATTGTGTTGAGCAGGTATTGGAGGAGCCTGCCAAATGTATACGAGAACTTCTTGCCTCTCCTGGAAACATGTTGTCTGGAAGAATGCATGTTTATCTAGATGACAAGATATTTCGTATCATTAAAGGTTTGCTAGCTTCTCACATTTTTATTTCTTTTATTGTCAATTGCATTTTTTCTATGCTGTAGGGTTTAATTATTAAATTACTCCCACTTTTCCTGATTTATGGATAGTTATTAAGAATGTTGTCTAGTTGTATATATTAGCTGTTTTTGACTACCATTCACAACCTACTACTTTTGGGTGGTTGATCCATTTCTTATTATTCTCATTGCCAATTTCTTCTTCCTTCCTATTCTTGTTACAAACTTATTTTAGATTGTTGGTTTTATACGTTGATGATCATGACTATAGCATAATGTTTGCAGTCCAGGATTGGTTTTAAATTGATACGACAATCTACTATAGAAAATTTGATAGTATCTTCATTCACTTTTGCTTCTTTAGTCCCTTGCTTCACAAATATTGATGATATCCTTCTCTTGAACATCTTCTGATAAAATCATGGACAGTTGAAAAAGTATTCAAGTACGAAATCAAATGAGGAAAGAAGGGGAAATGCTTAATTATCTCCATTGTCAAAGATGTAGTGCATGTTTGGCGTAGTCTAATATTTTTTTATTTTTTTTTGAAGCTGCTCAAACATATTTTTTTTTCACAAATTTCTTATGACCCACAATTTACCACCCACTTGTTTTGTAGACCACAACTTATAAGCACTTAAAAGCTTTCCCAACTGACGCATAATAATTTGGCGTACTTTGTAGTGTGTCCCAGGGGATGAGAATTAAGTGAACACAAAGACCATTAGTTTACTGTCACTTGTTACTAACACCATATTTGATACTGTGGAACAGATGATTTTGTAGAAGAAGTCAAGGTGAAGGAACGAGCTCCAAAGCTTCATTCTGTTTATCCAACATGCTTTGAAGCTGGGAAGCCTATGCAGTTTGTTGCTTGTGGAACCAATCTACTTCAACCACAATTTAGGTATGATGGAGATGCCTTTCCAATGTGGAAAGATTTTGCTAACATTTCTTTTTGTAGCATTTTAAGTAAATATTTTCTTTGTTCTCAATTTTCTGTAAAATCAGATCAACTTTCATTTTTACTTAAGCTCTCGTGAGTTGTCTAATTTATTTTAATACCTATTCTGCAACCGTTAGCTTAATAACGTAGTACATTTAACTGGTGGGAGATTGAAGGAGTGACAGAAAGGAAAGCGGAAATGGGAGAGGGAGGGGATAGGGGATTTTGTGTGTGCTATTCACGGTTTGGCCTCAAAAATGATATATTTTCTTGGATATGAGGACATGTGAGAAATTTTTTTGAATAGCAAACCATTTTACTTGTTGCCTTGTACTTCCAAGAAGATAAATGGAGTGAAGATTTAAAAATCATGAGATGATTTTGTCTGTTCAATAAATGATGGCTGCATAATTTATGAAATTCATTAGTTTTTAGAATTGGCCGAGGAATAGGTAAGCTTGATATTGCATTGGGCTAGGGGTTTCGAGAATTGTTTGTTACTCTTTGAAAAAATCCACACTTTCGATTGTTCTCCCAAAGATTCCATTTTCATAGAATCAAGTTTAAGAAATTTTTCTTTCTAGATTATCTTAGATAGTTTTTATGGCCATGGCAGGTTTCTTGTATCATTCAGTGGACGGTATCTGGCGTATAATATTTGTGTATCGTCTGTGGGCCGTAAGAAAGAAGGGGACAACAACAGTGCTGATCACGAGTTACTGAAGATATACGTCCCTCCAACTGACCTCAATGTTTTTGGCCCTGCATTTGTAGAGGTGAGTCTGAAAGAGAGCTTCTCTTTTACCTTTCTCTATCTTACATGGTCAATTGGTATTGATTCTGGCATTCTATACAAAGTTTTCAAGCTATATATAGAATTAGGATTAGGTTGACCTGTTTTCTACTTGGTCTTGTGATTGTGTCGAGGTACCATGACAATTCTTTTACAACATCAATAAAACTGCCTTGGGCCCAATAAATTTGTTGTAGGTCGTAGGGTACATGAATCCCTTTTCGCCACAGCTTTGTTTCATTGCAGATATGCATTTGAATCTATGTCAAAGATACTTCCCACATTTCATTCAAATTATTTAAACCACACAATTTTAAAAACCTGTTGAATCTACGATTTTAAGAAATTGTGCATCAAATTCAATCAACTAAACAAAATCCTTTTTTAGTGGTTGCATTCTTTTGTTAATTAGGCTGCGGTTTCAACTTTTTGTAGGTTGAGAATCAGTCTGGTTTATCAAATTTCATTCCCATTCTTATTGGGAACAAGGAAGTTTGTGAAGAAATGGTGTTGTTGCAACAAAAGTTTAGTGCATCTCACGGCTCCAAAGAACAACAATTATCTTGCCCGAGGCCTGCATGTGAAAGATTGGCCTCGAGACAAGCCGATTTCCCAGGGTTTCTTTTGGAAGTAGCATGGTCACTCAAAAAACCTGTATCAGATCAACAGCTGGCGTCTACTCAAATGCAAAGATTCAACTATTTACTGAATTTTCTGATAGAACGGGAATCTACCATCATTCTGGAGAGTGTGTTGGATTGCATGAAATCTGCAATGGACAATACTTTGGTGGTTGGCATTTCTGATGCTGATATGAAGTTATTTCGCGGAAATATGGATAATGCGAGACATGTACTTCATCGGAAACTAGAGGAAAAAGAATATTCGGTAATGCATGCTTCGGATGGAAAATTTTCCAGTCAAAGCTCCCAGCATGATAGTCGATCTTCTGTTCCGTCTACTAATCAGGTGAGAACTTCATTTGTTTACTTTAATCTACCTATTGTGTTTTTACTTTGTAATAGAAGGAACATCAATAAGAACTTAGTAATTAAACATTTTTTTCTTAATAAATGGGATGGCCATTTGGACATTTTGCAGGGCTTCGAAAGGACAAAGAATAAGCTGGAGTCGAGGGTTGTTTTACCTTCTCTAGACGAAAGTGTAACCGTTCCTCTTTTGAATGGAGAGGTAATGGGCTTAAACCTTAAGAAAAGGCCGGGTCGCTTATTTACGAGGACGGTTTTAACCTCTCGTCCGCTCGTCTTTGCAATTGTTGTTATTGGTGTTTGTTTTGGATTATGTGCAGTAGTTCTCCACCCTCATAAGGTCAGTGAGATTGCTACAACTATTCGCAGGTGTCTGTTTGACAACTCTTAGTGTCTGACTAGTACGCAGCGTGAACAAGATTTTAGCTTCTTTTTCGCTTGAACACTGTTCTGTATTGTACAACCTACTTTACTAAAATAGTTGCACAAATTCAGGCAGCTCTGGTGAACTCATCCGTGATTGAGCTGAAAGTTGCTGGGAAGATACATATAATCCCAGGTTCATGACATGAAATACTATCGTCCTTGGAGTAACCTTGTATATCTTCCTTGTAAAGATAATGTAACGGTTAATGGCACATTGTTCCTTGGAGTAACCTTGTATATCTTCCTCGTAAAGAATTAGATTTGCGTTCATAAGATGGCAATACTAATAGTTCACCTGTCTCCTTTCTAGAAGTATGTATAATCCTTTTGTTAACAATAAGTGGTTAAAAATGAAAGAAAAGTTTTTGGTTTACGTATAATATTATTTTATTGNCGATCTTCTGTTCCGTCTACTAATCAGGTGAGAACTTCATTTGTTTACTTTAATCTACCTATTGTGTTTTTACTTTGTAATAGAAGGAACATCAATAAGAACTTAGTAATTAAACATTTTTATCTTAATAAATGGGATGGCCATTTGGACATTTTGCAGGGTTTCGAAAGGACAAAGAATAAGCTGGAGTCGAGGGTTGTTTTACCTTCTCTAGACGAAAGTGTAACCGTTCCTCTTTTGAATGGAGAGGTAATGGGCTTAAACCTTAAGAAAAGGCCGGGTCGCTTATTTACGAGGACGGTTTTAACCTCTCGTCCGCTCGTCTTTGCAATTGTTGTTATTGGTGTTTGTTTTGGATTATGTGCAGTAGTTCTCCACCCTCATAAGGTCAGTGAGATTGCTACAACTATTCGCAGGTGTCTGTTTGACAACTCTTAGTGCCTGACTAGTATGCGACGTGAACAAGATTTTAGCTTCTTTTTCGCTTGAACACTGTTCTGTATTGTACAGCCTACTTTACTAAAATAGTTGCACAAATTCAGGCAGCTCTGGTGAACTCATCCGTGATTGAGCTGAAAGTTGCTGGGAAGATACATATAATCCCAGGTTCATGACATGAAATACTATCGTCCTTGGAGTAACCTTGTATATCTTCCTTGTAAAGATAATGTAACGGTTAATGGCACATTGTTCCTTGGAGTAACCTTGTATATCTTCCTCGTAAAGAATTAGATTTGCGTTCATAAGATGGCAATACTAATAGTTCACCTGTCTCCTTTCTAGAAGTATGTATAATCCTTTTGTTAACAATAAGTGGTTAAAAATGAAAGAAAAGTTTTTGGTTTACGTATAATATTATTTTATTGGAAAATGTGATTGAAAAAAAAAAGAGAATGAATTATTGGGGGCAAAACAAATACTTAGTGATTTATCATATGTGAAATGAATTTTAATTGAAAATCTAATAATTTTGAAATAAATGTTATTCTAAAACTAAAACTAAAACTAAAACTAAAACCATTTTTTATTTCAGAACACTCACCAATGGTAAATTAAATACTATAACTAAAAATAAAACCAATTTTCCATTTAATTTCTAATTTGTTTCATTTTCTATTAAATAGATATTTACTTTCGCAAAAATGGTAACATTCTATTCTGGATAAAAAGAAAGAATTGAAGATAGAGACTGAATCACTTTAGTATATGGATTGTGATACATGTGGTTGAATGTCTTTTGCACAACTAAATGAAATGTATTTTTGCAACTGTTGCAAATACATACACACAGACCATTTGAAGGTAATAACAAATACATGTAGTATTATATACACCAAATGATTGCTCTAATTTCTATTAACTTCAAACTGTCCATGATACCAGTGGCGGATCCAGCATTCGACGAGCCCCGACTACCGCGCGTGCTGATTTGCTGGGAACCTTTTTTTTTGTTTACAATAGATAAACTTTATAGATTATATAGCTAATAATTCATTTCATTTTCAAACATTTCTTATAGCTTAGCTAGTTAGAATCTTCATATTCATTTTGGAGGTCCCGATTTCGAATTCCATCTCAATCGATTTATTGTGGAATTTTTTAGTTGTACATTTTTTACAAAACTTAATGCAATAGAGAGGAGTTTTGAACCTGTGACCTCTCCTTAAAATTATTGAAACTTGACAATTATGACACTTAATGACTTTGACACTGAACTTACCAGAATTATATATGTTAAATTTTAGTTGTTTTAATGCAATTGCAAAAATTCTAACTCGTGCTCTTCATTTGTTGAATTTGAACATGTGACATTTCCTCAGGATACTGAAGGCTTGACCATTATGGCACTTATTGAACTTTGACACTAAAATTATCAAAATAATATATATTAAAATTTATAGATTTTAATACAATTTTAAAAATTCGAACCCGTGTCTTTCCTTTGAATTATACAAAACTTGGTCGCAATATCATTTGGTGAATATTGATAATTTGTACAACATAATTATATATGTTCAGTTTGAACAAAATAATTATTATATTGAAATTTTTGACCTTGTTTGATTTCTCCTTTTTCAAAATACATTTTCTTCACTCTTTTCAACCACACATTTTTCAATAAAATAATATTACATTCAAATTTAGAACTTTTCTTTATTTTTAATCACACACTTTCCATCAAATCAATATTTTAAAATGCATTTTTTTGCAAAAAAATTACATCAAACGGAGCTCTTAATATTTTATTGCTGCCCACGGTCGACGGCCGCCCGTGCTGACTCAAAATGTTGGATCCGCCACTGCATGATACTACTACCTATGTGCATTTATGCCAGAACAAGATGTAATGTTCATATTTCAGATAATACCAACACTATTACTTCATTTTTATTCAGTGACGTGGCTAAAAAATTCTTGAAACTTTCAACTGGGAAACTGATAAAAGATAGTATAACATTACAATTTTTTGTATGAATTGTTACATTTACCAGCATTTTCCATTTACACATATATATAGATAAAATCTTATATGTTCTTTATACAGTCGAGCACTTCATCAATGCTCATGATTCCCGCTATGCAACTGAAGCCCATTTTATTTACATGAAATATGGAAACTCAGATCCAAAAACCAATAAACCAAGATTCGACGTGATCTATTTTCTTGATAACGACTCTGCACATGCACAAGGATCTCCATCAATGTCTCTTCTCAGCCAAAGGAAAAAAAAAATGTTTCATATTGCACTAATGTACCTTGGACATAAACACTTTAAATATA